TTGGTCTTGAATGTCTCTTACAAGGGAAGAAGAACACTGGGTGATGATAATAATCAGGAGAGTCCCCTGAACTGTTTCTTATCTTACTGTTAAGATAAAGCTTATTTTGCTTGTTTCTTTAGACTGTGTATATATATATATAGTCTAATATATAGATACACATTTGTTTGTTTTAACCTGGACCCAAAATTTTTCCTTCCCTCTTCCTTCCAAGAGAAATGAGCACAGGCTCTCATCACTGTACTGCTGTCTTTGATACAGTGTAGACTGACGGTTAGAGTTGTGGTTTCTCCCTGAGATAACTTGAATTTCATAATTTCTTTGTTTCATTGCCTGCTCTCTTTTTCTATCCTATAATACTCTAGAGGACCAATTATTTTTCACTGACTTGAGTGTCTAATTATCCCTCTTTTTCCTTTTTCTTTACATTTGGGGCTCTACAACCAGCAAAATGTATAGTGTAACACACTGAAAACAATTATAAATGGTAAAATGTCTGAGGGTTATGAGGCTTGCCTGAAGAGATTTTTGTTGAGCTGCCTGGAGCTCAGAACATGGTGCTACTATTTATGTGCATAGATGCAGAACTGAATATGTTTTTGTTGGATAAGTTGCTCTCCAGGCTTGCTGGTACTTAGTTTCTAAATATCATTTTCTTGAAGAAACAGACTTGAGATTTTCAATTAAATCGCCTGTCTCTTGACAGACGATTTAATTAATTCGTCTGCTTGAATTCAAGATTCTTGTATTCTGAAGAGGAGCTTTAAGGTAACCAAGAGTAATCCCAACTGGTTTTAATTTATTCACTATTACAGAAAGCAGAAGGGCTCTGAGTCATCAGGGTCATTGAAGTTGGTATGCTTTGAAAGCTGATTGTACTAATAACTCGGGTTTTACTGAATGGGCTGAAATGTAATGTTAAAAAAAAATCATGTTACTGTAAGTTCTTCCATACATTTAAAAATTCATCTCTTCCATCTACTTAATTAAAAATACTAACTTGCTAAAAGTGTTTGGAGAACAGTATTTGACAGGATATGCCTTTTGATATTAAAGGTCTGTACTTACTGGAAAATATTTTTTCCTTCATTGTAACAGGCCAGAAACTCAGAAGTTCGATCAAATGCAGCATTTTTGTTTGTTGATGCTTTTCCTGTTCGTGATCCCAGTTTTAACACTGAAGAGATGGACAATGAAATTCAGAAACAGTTTGAAGAACTTTTTGTAAGTTTTAATCAAACTAAAATGTTAAAACTGAAAATTTGATCAAAAATAACCTGTTGATCCAATTAAAATTTATGAAATTTCAGGATAGTATTCATAGGGAAATACAGGCCTGTGATGCAGAAAAAAACCCAACTAATATTTTAGATTTCTGTAGTGTGTTTACAACTGATGGCATGCACCATTTCAAACTCTGAAAAGAAAATACTTGTGATTGTTAGGCATTAACCTGTGATGAAAGATCCTTTTCAAAGACTAGATGCATGAGTAATGGATCTTGATCCTTAACCTTGAATTGGTGAAGAGAGCTTTACATGAAATATGTAAGCATGCAATTGACCTTTAGTACTGTATAGTACTATGGTCTTTAAAAATGAGAACATCAAAAAATCAAATGAATTTCAAAGTTTTTATATTGTTGTATAGCAACAGTGGTCAGTGTAAAGTCTGATGTAAATAGGAGTGTAGATATCCTTAATTAAGTCACAGATGCAAGACTCAATGTGAGCCATTATTTAAAAAACTATTTCAAAAGTCCAATTAAAAAAATAACCAATATTTGTCTTAATTTTCTTTCTGATTTAAATTTCCTAGTTTGCTACATAATAAAATGCCTTGAGGGAATATTAATATTACATTTCTTTCGTAGTATGACAATTTGCATAATGATTAAAAGGCAATAGAATGCTATTTGTTTATTGTAGCTTAATGTCAAACAGCACTAGTTTCACAATAATGCATATACTCACTTTATTATTATTCTGTTTGGTTTAGAGTCTCTTAGAAGATCCTCATCCAGTTGTCCGCTCTACAGGGATACTTGGAGTTACTCAGATAACATCCAAATACTGGGAGATGATTCCTTCAACAATTCTTGCTGATCTTTTAAAAAAACTAATCGGAGAGCTGGCGTGTGATGTAACATCTGCTGACGTTCGATGCTCTGTTTTTAAAGTAAATCTTTTTTCTTCTGGATTTAAAATCATGATTGTCATTTTTATATTTTACTTGATGCACAGGTTGCTGGTACAAGCCACTTTAAGCTAAAGAAATTACTTACTCTGCTAAATTGCTTATACACTGAAGTTCCCAATACGTGCCAAGTTTTTCACAGGTTTTATAAAAGTCACACGTTTGGAATGAACAAATGCCTTTTAAAATAGTGACTGCTTGGCTTTGTGACTCTTTGTGACTTACATTTTTTGGATCTGATAATTTAGTTATTTTAGCTATTTAGAAATTATACTTGAAAATGCCTGCTGACAGGTTCCAGTACATTTCTATGTCACAGGTTTTAACCCATCCCTAGACATGTACAATTATATTGTGATTTTGTACCCCATTTTGTGTTTCTGAGGTTTGGATGAATGTAATTAACACAATTTCGCTGGGAATGCTGGCCTTCCATGCATTGTTCAGTATGTTAGGATTAGATAATATATATCTTTCAGGCATCTGGTAAATAAATAAAAGCTTGGACAGAAAAATTAGCTCCCTAAGCAGTATTTTCACTTAAAAATTTTCTGTGTGTGCAAATTACGCTTTAATTTGGAACTATCTTGATGTTAATCCTCGCTTGCTCCACTACAGCTGCATGGGGGTCTATATTGGGTAAGCAGAAAGTGCTGATTTAAAAATATCTTGGCAAGAAAAGACACATTTTTAATCTGAAATCAGCAGAGTTAGGGGGTTTGTATTGCTACCACATAAAAGACTTGACACTGTGCCCTCCAGTAAAAGGCAAGAATGTGGCCTCAGTGTAGATCTGAAGCTGCTTCATCTGAAATGAGTTCACTGGATATCTGAAATAACCGTAGCAATTTTTACTAAGGAATATTACAGGAAAAATACGCATGCACAGTGTCTGTCCCTGCTTAATTTAACCTTAGAAGTGTCCTGTTGTCCCCCTCTGCTCCCCTCTGGTAAGACCCTATCTGAAGTACTGTGTTCAGCTCTGTGGCCCCCAACACAAGAAGGACAAAAACCTGTTGGAGCAAGTTTGGAGGAGGGCCACAAAGATGATCAGAGGGCTGGAGCACCTCCTGTACAAGGACAGGCTGAGAGAGTTGGGGTTGTTCAGCCTGAAGAGAAGGTTCCAGGGAGACCTTATAGCGGCCTTCCATTACCTGAAAGGGGCTGCAGGAGAGATGAGAACGCACTCGTGGTCAGGGAGTGTAGGGATAGGTCAAGGGCTAACAGTTCTAAACTGAAAGATGGGAGGTTTAGATTAGATGTTAGGAGGAAGTTTTTCACTGTGAGGGTGGTGAGGCAGTGGCCCAGGTTGCCCAGGGAAGCTGTGGATGCCCCATCCCTGGAGGTGTTCAAGGCCAGGCTGGATGAGGCTTTGAGCAACCTGGGCTAGTGGAGGGTGTCCCATGGCAGAGGGGTTGGAACTAGATGATTTTTAGGGTCCCTTCCAATCCAAGCCATTCTATGATTCTGTGATATGGTGCTGTTCAACAATTTTTGGCTACATCTTTTTGCAAATCTACTCTTTAAGTTTTGGGGCTTTGTTAGCATAATCTTGTTTTCTTGCAGTGTCTACCAATAATTTTGGACAACAAACTAAGTCATCCATTACTGGAGCAGCTCCTGCCAGCGGTCAAACACAGTCTTCATGACAATTCAGAGAAAGTGCGAGTAGCTTTTGTTGAGATGCTGCTGAAAATTAAGGCTACCAAGGCTGCTAAGGTAGGTTAAGTGACCCCTGTTAAGTAGCAAGGAGATAAAATCAAGTCATTTATTTTTTTTTTTAAGTGCTTTTTGAGACTACTGAAGTATTCCTCAAAGGAAAAAAAAATCATGCTTAATGTAGTAATATTCTTAATTTCAGTTTTTACCCTCTTCATACTTAAGCATATAACTGGGTTTGGGATGATTAGTAGGTCCAGTGACATCTACTGAGGGAGAATGGCAGACATATCACTGTGACACTGGACCTGACACTGATGATGCCTGTATGTCAGGAGATGTGTCACTTGGTTCACAGAGTCAGCAGAAACAACAGATCATGTAACTGTTGTTCTGAAAGTGTTGGACTCTGAAAGCTTAATCATGATTTCGGTCATATTCTTCTGTTATTTATTATTTTAAAAATACTCAACAAGCATATTCCCCTAATAATCTGATTATGTGTTATTTTTATAATCTTCTTATTTTTTTTTAGTATTCATTTCTACATCACTCTGTAACCTCCCAGGCACTGAGCACTACTTCTGCTGAGTTTTAACTCTTCATAAGTCATGATATACAAGTGTGATTTAAAGGACTGGCACCTACCCTCATGACTTGATCTGTTAATTCCAGTTATCTGTATAGTAAAATATAACCAAGCTTTTTAAACTTGTATTCAATATCAGTAGTGCTTTAAATCAATTTTTTTATGTTGTTACTCTGCATACAGTCTTTTAAAAACAAAATATTGATGCTGCTGTTAAATGTATAAAAAATTGTTTGAAAGTTATTTGGCATTCAAGATAAAAGTTCAAGCAGACAATCTTTTTGGCTTCTTTGAATTATTCTGAACTTGCTGCCATTAAAGAGAGAGGAAAATTATAGTTCTCTACTTGAGGGATTTTTTCTTAGGTATTAATTTGTTCTTTAGGCTTAGTGGATACCTTCCATACACTCTTCCTTATTTTTATTTAGTAAAAGGTTCAGATCTTCTGAAGGAAGGATCAGGTTTATATAAAAGAAAAAAAAAATCAGAGTAAGTGTTAGATATTTTGTCAGTAACTTCCCATTGTTTTAAAAACTATAATATGTATCTCTAGTAAGTCCTGGCATTATTTCAAAGCTTACTCCGAGGACTTTCTTTTTGTGATAGTTCTAGTAGGGATGCCCATAGTTTGAAATCACAGGGGAATTAGCTGCTGCAAATATTTCTACTCAAGATAAAATAATATTTTTCAGTGCCAAGAAACCTTGTTTTTAGGGGGTTTTGCTGGTTTTGGTTTGTTTGGTTTTTTTTTCCTCTCTGAAAGTGCACAGCCCAATTAATTCAACATCTCACAAAAATTACTAATGTGAGAAGCATTACCGCTGGCATAACAAGCTATTTATTCTTTCTGAATTCCATAGCCTTTGATTACTATGTTAAAAATAAGCTACAGCTCTGCTAATAATGGGTTGCGCTTATGGTTTGGGATGGTTTTGGAAAAGATTTTCTATACAGGTTTTTAGGGCATATACCATACTTATAGGTAGCTTGCTCCTACTTCATCCTATGATGAGAATATGAAACCTGGCACATAATGACAGTTATTATATTATAATTATATAAATATTGTAATTATTTTCTATACCTATGGAATTACATTAGCATTGCAGGTACGTTGAGCTGGAATTGCTTGAACCAGAATTTTACTGGTCTGTCAGAGATACTGGGAGATTTAGAGATGCATAAGAACAGTAAAGAAGCATTGTTGCAGCAATATGTGACCTCAAGTAAATATTGGTATTTTTGTAAAAATTAAAAATTAGCATTTACCAGAAAAGCATGATATTTATATTTGTTGAGACTTTTGATGGGGACAACACTTAATAAAGGTGATTGATTTTTCCTGTTTATTTTTTTAACTCCTTTAATTTTTTTGTTTGTTTGTTTAACAAGTTTTGGAAAATCTGTCCTATGGAGCATCTTCTGACTCGTCTAGAAGTTGATTCACGGCCTGTGTCACGACGCATAGTGAATCTCCTATTCAACTCTTTCTTTCCCATTAACCAACCTGAGGATGTGTGGTGTGAGCGCTGTGTTGCTCTAATCCAGATGAATTCAGCAGCAGCTAGAAAGTTCTATCAGTATGCTTACGAATATACTGCCCCCACCAATATAGGTAAAGCCCAAAGCTTATGAGTTTTTGGAAATTCTAATATCATGTCATATTATTCCTTTTTAAGTTTTTTTTCTCTAACTGTGGTATGTTGTTGCTAGATCTTTTGGTTTTAGTATAATACTAATTTGTAGTTTTTTAAATTCATGACACCAGCAATGAACTCTGGTGACAACAGTCATAAGCTTTTTCAAAAATGAAGAGACCAAAGGTTTTTGTTTCTGCTCTTAGGTGCTGTACTGTACTCTCTAGCTGATGTTGTTACCTGGTCTCTCTTTTCCCCTTTCTCCTCACATGTACCTTTAAAACTGTCTAAATTGATATTTATTTATCATGCAGAAATAGTGAAATAAAATACCCTGATGTCTCAAGATGTTTGAGATCTTTATGTGGAAGATTCTGTAGAAGGTTAAAAATATTTGTCTGATTATCTGGAATTTGTGGATCAGTAGTATTTTTAAGATACTCAGAGAAAATCTAAAAAGCCCTTCTTTTTAAAAGCTTCAGAAGCACAGAGTATAGATGCTTTTTTATAGAAGTGCTATTGAACCAAGTAAAATCAGGAAAATATTGTTTCAAGAGTAGTTCTGATACTATAAATACAAATTGGTCAGCATGAAGTGACGTAGGTAAAATGCACAAGCCATTGCCCTATTAACTTGGTAAGGTAGTTTTGGAAGAACATATGCTAGTCATACTTTTGTGAGAGTGGACATAACAGTTGCACTTTTATCTAAAGATGAGCTCCTCATTAAGGAATGCAATGGTTAGGCTACAACATCTTTTATAAATAATTGGAATTGACATTGGAGGGGATGTATTATTGAACATAGGTCGTCAAATTAATAGCTATGCCAGATGAATGTAGGAGTTGTGGGAGCTTCCTCTGATCCTGATTTGATAAGGTGATGGTTGGGTGTGGGGGTTTTTTTGAGTAGACCTTTTTAACAATAAAATTATAGAACCTGGTGATAATGTTGACATTTCTTCTTCATGCTTGAGGATGTAAAGCATTTTCACATTTTTTTCATTTCCTTTTACCAGGACATTTGAAATGTTTTTCCTAGTTACTTCTGGTTTTGTTGCCTGCTTTTCAGACTAGCTTTCCAGCATTACACTTAGAAGCATTCACTAGTAACATTCTTAACAAATAGCAAATGTCTGATTTTTTTTTTCTTCTTCTTCTTATGTTTAAATGTAGCTAAATTGATGCTTACTATTCGGCGCTGCTTGAATGCCTGCATCCAGAAAGCAGTGAAAGAGAGTCTTCATGATAGTGATGATGATGATGATGATGATCATCAAAGTGAAAAGGAGAATAAAAGTGTAAGAAAGTGCACTTTATGATAAGTTCTGGTAACTTTTTTTCTGTGATGCTTAATTTGAGACATGGACAGTTAAATATGCAACAGAAATCTAAAAGGAAAGCACTTGGGCATCTGTGGAATTAGAAGAGAGAACTGCCTTTACAGTGTTTTCATGCCCTGCAATAGCAGAAATTTTTTGAAGTAGCTAGAGTAAGATGGAAGAAATATGAAGCATATTTTAGATGAGTACTTCCCTAATTCTAGTACTAATTATAAATTGGTTTGATTCTGCAATTGAATAATTCAAAAACTTAACAAAAACTTGAGTCAACTACTCAAGTTATATCTATATATATAGACTAAGAATGAATTGAGGAGTTCATGTTCTACAACAAACACAATCCCACTGTAAAATTAACAGAAGAATCTTCAGGTTTTTTTGAAACCTTATTTTAACCTAAATTTATATTTGAGAATATAGCAGGTAATATCTAAGTGTTTGTATTTCAGGTGTTGGATAATGTGTTGTCAATCAATGATGTAGCCAGCATGGCAAGTTTATTGGAGATTACTGTAATTCTCTGGAGAAGTATTCACAAAGCACTAGATCGCAATGAAGATGCCAAAGATTATGCTATCAGAAAATTTGCTTCTGTACTTCCTGAATATTTTAAAGTATTTAAGGTAAAGAAAGCCTAATTTTCCTGTAAGTGCTTAGTATTTTTTTCAGATGCTTTTGTGTGTTATGTCTTTTATCTATTTTCATGGCAATTAAATATTCTTTTTCACTGTTGCTATAAACTGTAAGCAATACCAAGTTTTTTGGAATTCCACAAATGGGTAGAAGGTATTCTCCAATTGCAATATCTGACTGATGAACCATTACCTAAATAGTCAACAATGAAATACTTATCCAATAAATTGCTCTCCTTGTAGTGTTTTTATAGGATTCCATTCTTGTGAATGTTTTTGGAACTTTTGGAATTCAGTAACTGAAAATATTCCATTGTAGAATAAATACTCAGTGTTGATGAGAGTCCACATGCTTTTCTACCTGCTCCCCCTGAAACCCTTCTACCACCACTGCTTCTTATTATGATCCAGCTGCTGGAACAGACAGCTGAAGCAACTGAAACTCCTTTTTCACTTTCTTGTGTTTGGTTTCTGCTACTTTGATTCTACTCTCTAGTGATCCTTTGATGCACCTATTTATTGTTTGTGTTTGATATAAGCAATTAATTAAAATCAGTTATTTTCATATTTTCAGTCTCCTTGATCTGTTCATTTGCTCTAGTGTTACTCTTTAGGATGCTGTCTTTTGATAGTGGCTAATAATACCTGCTGCACCCTGTAGCGCATTTAGAAGGGTTATCTACTGGATGTCTTTTTTTTGCTTGTGGCTTTTATGTTATACTGAGTTATGCTGGCTGTTAACAACATTCAATTTTGCTGTACATAATCAAGGTGTGGAAAGCAACTCAGTGCTACAAAATGTTCTGCAGCACAGATATACCAAATGCTCTCTACTCTGAAAGCATTTGGAAGTTGTCAAAGACATTCCAAGTCTTTTTTGTTAGATGATGTATCATCCCCTCTGAAAGGTTTTGGGGAGCAGACAAGATGCCCAGCTTTAGCAAGGAATGTCTTTGACTTTGATATTCTTACAGTGAGTAAGCAGCTTGGATCTAAAAAGACCTGTCATCAGAGGCTTAGTTTCTAAAAGACTACAGATTGAAGCAGCATGTCTCTTTCCTAAAAATCTATATATACAAATATATTTTTAATATGTTCTTTTAAAAATAATCTTTAAAAGGTTTTAGCTCTTCAAATATCTAAGTAGGTAATAATTATATTTGATTGTGTTCATGAAGCTTGGACATACAGATACACTGTTTTTGAAGAGGCTTTCACATAGCTTGGTTTCTGTGTAATCGAGTGAGACTGTGCCATGGTCTAGACCTGGTATTATGATGTGTTGTAATGATTTGTAGTGCATTTTATGTTACCTTTGTTATATAAGCACCCTTTCCTTTTGAGTCTTTTTAATAAATTTCTGTTGTGAATGAATATTAATTCAAGCCAGTAGTTACTTTAAAAGGAGTTAGATGGTGTCATGATTGTGCAATTAAATATTAGTCTCTACTAGGAAAAATGTGAGCTAGAGCTGTTATTTCTTTTGCAATGGTTATTAATCCAGTAGAGCCATAATTATTAATGGTAGTTGTTCTGGCAGTTTGTCGGAAAGCTGAATGATAAGATAATTGATAACTGACCTCTAAGAGTAGGAATCGGAAGTTTCAGATTGCAAGCCACATACTGTTATAAGCTTCTTTCAGTTACATTTCCAATGAAGAAAGGAAAATCCTTAATTTGAGATAATTTAATAATACTTTTCCAGTACTCTCTTTCATTTTGTGGACACCTGTACATGTACATCATGTAGTGTACTTTTTTTATCCTAGGATGAGCGTTGCATCACTCCATTGGTTATTCTGGCATCCTTTATGCCCCCTGCTGCTATTCCTACATTCAGGTACTATTTTAAATCCAAAATATGAATTACAAGAAATCTTTTGTTGGCTGTATTTGTTAATTTTTCACAACTTGACATATTAAATGCCCCTTTAGATAAATTAACCCACTAAACAGATAAGTTAGTAAAATCTGTGAGGTGCAAATATGCCTTTGAGTCACTGATGAATCTTTTTTGGTATTATACTAGTTGATTTTCTTTGAATTATTTCTGCACTGTATATAAAGCTAATGCATCTCTTATTTTTGTTTGTTTTCTTTTAAGCTGTGGTGTGATCTCCAAACTCAGAATTATTGACAATGGAGCTGACCAGAACAAATATTCTACCCTGATAGACTGCATGTGTCGCTGGGGTCAAGTGGGACATGTTCTGGAATTAGCCTGTGATTGGTTGTCTGACACACTAACCCCACAAAAGGTATGTATATGCATACGTCAAAGAATTAAGGGATTGCGAGATTACATAAAGGCATTGTCTTTTTTTTTTTTTTAATAGAAGAAGCCTCATTAATGCTGTGTTATTCTGCTTTGGAATTAATTGTAAAGTAAGACACTAACAGTATTGTACTGGTTTTGTGCTTTCTTCTCATTTAGAATATCAAAACATCTAAACGCCGAGTGCGTATCCATGTAACACATGAATCGAAGCCAGAATTAGCAATTGATTACATTGAATATTTATTGACTCATCCTGTTAATCGTGGCTGCCTACTCTCTGTTCCTAAAAATAAACTGAAGAAGCTTTTGAAAATTCTCAGTGCTGCAAAGGTAGTGTTCTCCTTACCACAAACAGTGCTTATAAAAGAGTGCTTAACGTTATATATTGCCTGAATCAAATTCAAGGCCTCCAAGAATAAATAAATAAGAGTCATAATCTTGTCTTCCTCTCTATAAAAAGGTTTTCGTATTGATTTGTGCTTCAAACAAATATTCTAAACCGGAAGTGTATTAATTTAGAATTACTTATGGATGGCAGATGTTAACCAGCTTATCATTTTTAAGTATCTCAAAATTTTTGTGACCTAGTGTTGAGTATTTTTAAGGGACCTGACTTTTGGAATGTACATGTAAGGAGTAGCCCCAAAATCAGATACAGCATTGCAAAATGAAAGCAATTGACAGTATGTCTATTGTTTTGGGGGCTTTGAAGGCTTTTTTGGTGGGGTTTTTTTTTTTTTAAACTTTTGTTTAAAGCTATTGAGAAGAGAAAGATTTGAAAGGATTTTCTGGAAAGTATAAATGTAAACCTTGATATTTCAGGAGGTTCTTGGCTCAATTCTGAAAGGTAATGATGGAGGTTCTGTTAGCTGCAATCAAGCAACTGGTGTAAGAGCCTTCAGCCTCTTTTGCAGGTTGAGTATTCATCTTCAGAATAAGGTATGGTTATACGTTTTCAGTGTAAGTTGGAGTTACAGATAATAGTATGAGGAAATTCCAAAAGAGTTTGAAAGACAATTGGCAAACTAATTCTTTTAATTGTAATTCTTCAATTTTTTTCCAGTTTTCTGAAGAAGAAGATTACCTCTCACTTCTGAAGGAGACAGGTGCTTGGACAGAAAGTGAAGTTTTACCTTTTATACTAGCAAGTGACCAAGAGGATGGCATTTCAAAACAGAGTAATGTTTCTGAATTAATTATCCAGGTTAGATGTCTCATAACATAAATCAAACTGCTACTGGTCTGAAAAGCCATATATGTAGCAATTGTATGCTGACAAACATAGTGCACTGAAGTTTTTGGAGCCCAGCAAGTGAATGAGCTAATGAAATACAGTTCTGATTATTCTGGCATTACAGTTTTATGCTTCTGCTATTCCTTTGATTGCTTAAAATCACACACTGTTTTTTTAATTGCTTTGAGTTTAGTTATAACCTTTATTTTATAGACATATATAAATATAAATGCACATACCCTAGCAATTAAGTAGTTGGAGTCAACAATATCTTGTTTTATCTAGACTTTTTTCACCTACCAGTGCATAATATATATTCTCATCATACCTGTTAAAGTGAAGATGGAATATGTATTCTGTTTCACACTTGTGAAAATGCCCAGTCAAGAAATTTCTAGTACAGCGGGTGATGTAACCTGGGTATCCCAAATTTTCGCTTTCTAACAAGTAATTCTTGTCCTCAGTCTCTTATCCTCCATATTAATTAAAGGTAGTGTTTATGTTGTTTTATGGAAAGGGCATTAACATCAAGTTAAGATTGTTGCTGAATCTCAGTTTTGAAAAGGCAAAGAAAATTAGTTGCTGGAAACAAGGGTATAGTTATGTGGTGTGCTAGGACTTAATAGCCTGTTCTGTACTGTAGAAGGTCCTAGAAATGACATAGAATCACTGCGGCTGCATACATTATGCTGTTCAACACAATAGATGACTGACTTAGAGGACCAGGAAGGTGGTGTGATTATGAGAGAGGATTTAGATCTAATCATGTTTCCTTCCTTTCTTACTTTCTTTCCTTCCTGCTTTCCCAAAAGAAATATGTAAAATTATGCCCTGAGGAATTTGGTATGCTTCCTTCTAGTGCTGAGGCCCATAGAACACACCTTTGGAAGTCATCAGAGAGGCGGGGTGTGAGTTACCTGGGAATTTTAATAATAAGATTTGGTCTTCTACCAAACCCTGCTGCTGCAGCCAAATGGCTTTTTGAAAAGCATAGAGAGTAAACAAGTGTTGTAGTTGTTCCTGGTACAGGTTTCTTTCCTGTTTTATATACCGTTGTCTCTTCTCTCTGAATTAAAAGTTTTGTAGGCATATCATAACTCTTTTGTGGCTATTTTTTCAAAAGTTTGGAGGCACAGAACTTAACCTTATAGAAAGACAAGACAAAATAGGGAATCTTTACCAGCATTACCGAAGTGTTTATGATAAATTTCACAGGTTTGAATACAAAATGAAAATGAAACTTTATTGATAGGCAGTTGTCACCTTTAAACCCATCTGACATATTACTTGACTAGCCCATAATGAAACACAATGATCTTTACTAGTACATCTTAAAGTCCATTTGCATCATTATTTCCAGAGAAGAAACTGATGTGACTTGTCTGGAAGTCATGAAGAGAATCCAGGCCTCTTGTGTCTCCTGTAATAAGCCAAGTGCTATAAGCCTATTTGCTTCTCACCTTGTGTACTGTTTTTTATTGGAATGAGGTATTGATTGTGCTTTTTAATTGTTCAGAGTATATATTTGGTAACAATGCTGGCATTAAAAGTTGACCTAGTTTGTCTCAAAATATCCATATAATATACAATAATTAAAGTGGTTTCTGTAATACTGATGTATGTGAGAGGGGACTGGGGTGTGTCTTCTTTTTCCACTTACATTTCTCTGTCACTTTCCCTGTGACATGTCCCATTCTTTCCCATTTCACCCTTCCTTCTCTGCTTGGTCTGTTACTCAATTTTGTACTAGCTATTAGGGGCAGGGATTCACTCGGGGGCTGTTCTCTTTAGGCCACTGATTGTTGAGTGGGGCTAATAGGCCCTCTGACACAAACCCCAGCATCATCACCGACAGTGTCGCTTACCCCTTATCTTCATTTGCCCTAAACAGAAGGAATTTTATTAGCAGGTTTTTCAGCTAGCTTTGAATTGTTTTCTGTTACGTTCCTGTGACATATCACTTAATCCATGGTGGATTTTATCATTGAGCTATGGGTCCTTTCAGATTTTGGTCAAGGGAAGAATTTGGACTGACTCTAGTCACAGTCCATGTCCTTGAACAACCCAGCTCATGTATGCATAGACTGGTTAAAAGTGCTCTACTCTACTCTGTCTATACATTACTATTATAATCTGTTTAGTATGTAGCCTGTGTGTCTCAGTAGGGAAAAGCTCTTTTTGTATGCTGTTTTTAATTTTGCTGTTCAAGATAGGTAGAGATGTCGTATTGTGCCTCTGATCTGAGCCTGAGTAAAAAAAATAAGAGGATTTGCTGCCTTTTGAGAAGCGGTGTTTACTGGAGGAAAGGGCAATGGCAGCATTTGCAGAACTATTTGGAACTCCTGCCTTTCGAAGGTTGCAAACTGAGTAACTCCAACTAGATGCAACACCTTTCGAGGCAACTTGGATAAGATTTAATATTTTTATTATGTTTAGTTTTTACTGAATGGTAACTTTATGTAAATTTTCTTATATACTTTGGCATCTCTTTTCTAGGCCTACCTGACAGTATGTAAAGATGTCATAATGGTTGGCCTTGGCGATCTCACATTTCAAGCACAGCTTTTAGATATGGCTCTTTCAGTTATACAAACAGGTATAATATTTTATACTAACCTCAATATCTCCATCTATTTAGCTGAATTTTATTATTATTTATTTATTATTAGTAGAACTGTTGCCTTTGGCATTTTTGAGTCTGTTTCTCAAACAATGTTGAGCTAGTACCAATAATATGGTGAAAAATTACAGCAGCTTTTCAGAAAACTGAAAACAAGCAGAGAACCAACCCAGAACCATGTCACTGTTGATAACTAATTCTTCCTTGTTCTTAGATTCCAGTTATTACTGCATAATTCAGGCGAATATGTAAAGTGGTTTTTAGTATATATATGAAGTGGTAGGTGTATATTGAGATATGTATCAGTATGCCTCAGGAGAAAACATTGTAGCACTATTTAAATGTAGCTCACATTTTGAAAGTTATGTCTACAGTACAGAGAGAATTAGAGCTCAATTCCTGAAGACATTTACAATTTTAATCTCTATACTTCAAGAATTGGAAGGAACACTGGATTTATATTTAAAATATTGATTGAACTGTATGAAAATTTCAGCTAAGGATGCTCAGAAACTAACTACGCTTGTAAACCATAGCTATTTATGGTATATAGCTGAGTTTCATTCTAAGCTTGTACCTGAAGAACTTCTCATTACAATTTTTATATCATGGTATTTATCTCTTTCTCTAGAGAGAGGTGCCTTTTGTGCTCCAGTGTTACTGTATGCTCTAAAAGAAATTATTGAAGCTTCTTTAACACAGAATGTTCAGACAGATGAAGTGGCAAACCTTTTCCATGCTGCACAGACTGTCTTCCAGAAGGTTTTAGAATGCGTGGCACGTAGACTGAAGAAACAGCAGGAAGAAGGGATTCAGGTATCATATTACACTTGAAATTGCTACCTAATGTGTAGATGAATTCATCTTTTTTCTGTCAAATGTGTTAGAAACTTTGAGGTTATTATTTGAGTCAACATCTGTTTAAATGGGCTGTTAAATTTTCTGAATTTCCTCATTACAAATGGGATATTTTTTTATCCATTGTTGGTCTCATCATGACTGAAAAACTAGTAAATAGGAGAACAGTGCATTCTGTTAACAGTGATCCTGAACTATGCTAGTACTCAGGTTATTGATCTTATCTGCAATTAAATGAACTTTCTCAATCCAGAGCAAAGAATTTGATTATGCATATTATGATCTTGGGAGTGAGGAGAACTTGTTATTTTATTTATTTCTTTCAGCCTGAATTATATCAGCTTCAAAATATGTATGATGTCCTAAAGTTCTTCAAAACCTCCTATCTTCCCAGAAAAGTTTTGTAGTTATATAGTTTTTATTTTATAGTAGACTAGATAGCAGTGAGATGGGTGGCTCACTCTGGAAAATTTGATGATCTGCTTTTCAGGACTTCTGAACAACTGTTTCTCTCAAATTTATGAGTAGACTTCCCAAGCATGTTGCTGATTCCCTCTCTGATCCCAGGTGACTAGCATACCTCAATAATTTTCAAGGTGTGATCTGAACTTCTTCACAGAGAAGCTTGCTGAAATAATTCAATTATACTCAAGCAAAAACTGACCTGTTTTTCTTTGGTTTTAGTTGATTCACTCTATTCAAATGCCTCTTGGAGAATTCATACGTGCAGTCCAGTGCTGGCATTTATCTTGCCCAGCAGTTCACCAAAGTGTATTCTCTACTCTCCTGGCTGCAATAATAGCAGAGATAAATCATGTGCTACAGAAGGTAAAGTTAATGCTGACTTTTTTTTTTAAAACCTACAGCCTTTTAAACCTTACGTTAGAACAACAGAGCTATGTTCAGAAAGTGTGATCTTTGTACTGCGGATTTTGTGTGTGTTGGCATGGAACAAACAGGACACTTTTTGCCATGATTTCATATTACAGTGCATCTCAGATTTATGAGTACAGCCATGCAAGAACAAAGTTACCCTGATAACTAGTTCACTATCTGCCTCTGATATTTCTTAAACTCTTCAGTTTAGAAATTAGGTAGTGTTGGAGATTAACGATGTGTTTTTGAGATGTTCTCTCTATGTGTATTTATAATGGATCTGGCTGGGAAGGAGTTAACTTTCGGCACAGTGGTGCTGTGGTTTAAATTTGTGGCTAAAACACAGCTGAGGGCACACCAGTTAGTTTTGGCTGTACAATGCTTGCAGACTGTCAAAGCTTTCTCTGTTCCCTTTACCCCCTGCCCTAAGCAGAAGGTAAGTAGGCTGCAGGTGGGCAAGAGGTTGAGAGGGGACAGAGACGAGACCATTGGCCCAAACTGACCAAATACGTATTCCACACCATATGATGTTGTGCTCAGCTATAAAAGCCCAGGGAAAGGAGGAGGAAATGCTCACCCAGCATTAGGGAACTTAAGAAGTGAACCACTGAACTCTGAAATTCAGATTCCAGTTCCCTATTCTTGGACCTGTCCCATAAGGTTCTGAAGTCCTGTTCCAAAGTAGGTTGGTACCTTGCTTGGCACTGATCACTTGTGCTTCATTACAGGTCCATCTTGCACCACATCTTTTTTTGGGGGGGATTCCTCTGTTTTTTATCTAGAGGATTTCCAATCTGATCTCAGTTTCTTTAGCAAGTGAGGACATAATCTCTAATACTGGAAAGAATATATAGACAGAAGTTATTGTAGGAGCTAGAAGTCCAAGGAACCATTGCTGTCCTTGAAGGAGAAGGGTAAAATTTCTGATGCACATTCTTAAAGCATGTATTGTTAGGGGTGAATATGGCTAGTAAGACTGTAAACTTTGAGAACCAACAAGGAAGAACAGAGGTTCTTTAGAAGAGGGTGTACTCTTACTGTGATTGCTAGATAAGTCAGAAATAGAGGAATACACGGTTGGCAGAAAATACTAAGTGCAATAGACCTGCTTCTAAGATTCTGTGTTACAGAAGGAACTGAAACAATACCAGAGATTTACCTGCAAATATTAGTGTATCAGCTGAGGGGCTGTGAGTCGAGAGCATGCACTTTACAGATGCTGCAGAGTAAAAGTTTATGGTCTCGAATGATATTGCATGTTCATACTCATAGATATGAATGTTAATTGCAGTAAGTCATCTGAGCTGGAGTTTTTCCTGCCCCAGGTTATTGGACGAGTAAATAAAAATTTAGTTCTAACTAAACACTTGCCATGTGATTCAGAACTTGATACCAAAAAGAGCTGACACAGGGAGTCTGCAAGTCACTGTCACCTAAGTTATTTTTAGAAATGATGTATGCACACTTAAACTTGGAGACACAAAGGATACTAATTTGTGTTTAGTGGGCTGTGCCTTTATAAATAGTGACCAACAGTGCAGTTAAATGAAACTTCTATTCAGAACAAGAATATTTGCTGTGATACAAATACTGTTTATTTGTTTTAGTTTTAGCCTTTCTAATTTCAATTTGTTTTGTTTGGACACATCGCAATTGGTTTAAGTCTATTCAAAGAGCACGCATGAATGTTTCTTCTAATTATTTAAGGATCGGTCTTGGTTAGTGTAATTATTAAAATATAGATTTGTTTTGATGTTTTCTGCATACATATTTCTCGTTCTACAGCAGTTGTTGACTTTTTTCTTTTTTAGGCTTCCAGTGAAAAAGATGTAATTATACCAAAGACTATTTCAGACCTTCCTCCTCTTTCAAGCAGTTTAATGGCCGTAATTATGAAGTCAGTTGATGTTGTCAGGTAAATGTTTCTATATGAATTTGTCCAAGGTTGTTACTAATGTAGAACAGTGTATATGTTGTGAATAAAGTTTGAAATTGTAAATTCAAACAAATTTTGAGGAACCTAGGTGATTCCTAAATTTACCTGCCCTACTTCATAATCCCTTTCTCATGACGTATTGCTTGTAGATATTGATTGGGATAGTTGGCTCAATTTTTTGAACTGCTTCTAAGAGTGCTTCTTATTTTCGACAGTGTTCATCTACAGGAGTTCTTTAACCATACATCTTGGCTTGCATCTTTCATAAGATACTTATAAACATTAGTCCTCTCGATACAGAGGTGTTTAGATGAGATAAAATGTGTACCAGAAGTAGCATTAATCCTTTAATTGAACGTCTGCAATAAGGTGACAAATATACTGTAGCTGTATTAAAATCACAAAATTCAAAATAGTTTTAAAATATGAGTCCTAAAAAGCCCCCAAAAGTAGGGTTAGGTAACTATTTCTTTTTTAAGACTTAGATTTTAATTTGTTTGCTGGGTACCCTGAATATCTTCTAAAATTGTCACAAGTGAATTTTGTTACCTTTCTTTGTTTAGTTTGTTCATATTCAATTTTTATTTATGTGACTGTACACACCAGATAAGTCATTTTCAATGACTTAGCACAACTAACTCCTGTTCTTAACCTCCTCATCTGACAGGCTATCTGACAGAATATACCTATTCTGCTGTCATGAGGTGTTTTTTTCTTCTCAATCCTTCTCTAATTCTATCTGAATTTGCAAAACACAAGGCTCCAGACAGTCCAGCAATAGGCTTCCCAGTCCAAGTCTTGCTCTTCTGTGAGGCAGCAGCTGTCCACCAAGGTGTTTTCTTTTAGTGAAACACATTTATTTTACACACATCTTTTGAAAAATGTTGCATAAATTCAATTAATTCCTCTGAAACTTTTTCTTGTAGTGGTCAAGGAGAATCTTGTCCATTCTTTACAGAGAAAACTGCTAGTTTGGACCAGATTGTTTCTAGGAGTAGTTTGATAAACATGTATCTATCTTCTAGTATTTATCTTTTTGGTGCAAAGAAAATGTGAGGAGATAATTCACATCTGGTTCCACTGGTGTGTCAGGACTTAGACTACTTTTAAGGCTGTTTTATTTTATTAATCTGTATTGATAGCCCATAATCAGAGTCCGGTAGTAAATCATTCAGTATCAGAAATTATCATCTTTCCACACCATGGCAGGAGGCTTGGAACTAGATAAATCTTTAAGGTCCCTTCTGACCCAAACCATTCTATGAGTTATCTCAGACTTTACAATGAACAGTTGTTTTGATTCTGTTAGTCTGTCCATACTTTCAATATCTAAAATGTAGTTGGGAAGTGTTTATATTTAGTTATAAAGATTCTTCACTGTTTTGTAATTGGAAACCCTTCTATTTTAATTTTTATGAGATACACATTTCAGACCAAAGTGCTGATCAAACTCCAGTTTCTAATCAGGGTACAAGTAGTAATAGTTTTAAGGGCATGAGTAGTTACTAACAATCCACTGGTGTTATATAATGTATTCTTTAAACTTCAGTAGAAATTGAAGTTAGAAATTTCAATACATATTATGTGAGTTAAATTCCAGTAGAGTCAGTAGTTTTTTCATAGATTGACATTCCCAGAATAGTCCACAAGCTCTTCATCTCTCTCCACAAGCTCTTCATCTCTCTTAACAGCTACTTATTTTGTGTACTTTTTGTGTACTTATTTTGTGTATTTTGTATTTTTTATTTTCTTCACAAGCAATTTATCATTTTGCTACCTCAGATATTTTCAGTTCCAGAAGCAGTGTGTAGTCTTCAATTACCCAATAACCCCTGCTTTGTCCTGCATGGTATCTTTGAAGTTATGGTGGCAGGGTAGCATACTCATAAACTTGTTGTGTTTGGTACTATTTTGAAAGAAACGTGATTTATAATGTATTTTTGCTTTATTTTTTCCTTAGATCATTTTTAAGTGAATTAATGGAATGCGTTCTCTCTGGAGAAATTGAAGGAATTTTTAGTCTAACAGCTACTGTCTGCATTGTGATTATAATTAAAGGTCAGTCAAATGATTTTTAACCATTTTTTTCTTTCTTTTTTTTATGTTCTACATTTTGAAAGCAGAGTTGTTATAGAATTCAGCAGGCACTTTTCCTTATCTTATTAAGTTACCATTTTTCTATAGAATTTAAGGTTATATCCCTTGTAAATTATGTTGTTAAGCTTTGGGCTTTCAGTCTTTGTGTAGTGAGTTTAAAAATACAACTGTCAGCTAGCTCATAGTGTCCATCGTTATATTCTGATTTTCTGAAATACACAGTAGTTTATCCAGGACAGTGAAAATCTAATTTAATATCTAAGATTTCATTAAATGATTTTTTTAATGTTAAAAGATATTTGATGAAAATATGCAGGGTGTTTTTTTTGGTAAGTCAAAAATTGTACAACTATTCAACATAATCTTATTTCAAATAGGTAAGCACAAAACTTCACTTCTAAAGGATATTGCACCTGCCGTTCAAAGGAAGCTGATAACGTGTAAGGATGCTGCCACAGAAGAATCTAGCAGCACTGAAAGGTAAATATCCTGTGGGAAATGAACACTAACCTCTCCTGTACCCTCTCTGCAATAATTGTCTGTGTTTTGTACTTCCATAATACAGTTAGAGTGTTCTGAATGATTGCAAAGTTTAAAATAGTGAGTAAAAAAGTTGTGAGGCATTGAGCCCAACACAGTATTAAATTTCCTGCCCATACATTTACTGCGATTGCAATCTTTACATATTTAGTTTGGTTTTTTGCATTTTAATTTCAACGTGTTATGATTCGATCCTGTATATTGCAGGATTCAGTTCTGTCAGCAGCAGGTGTAGAACAAAACAAGCAGTCTATTTACTCTTTCTTTTTACTAGAAGATTTTTCTCCCACACTTTGGTATTAGGCATATGAATCCATACTTACCCAGATGTTAAAAATTTAACTGAATGTAACAATGACTTTAAGACCTTTCCACATGTGATTTTTATTTTGCTCTTTTTTGAAATTTTGGTGTCATATCTGGTTGACCTTTAGCTTTTTTGGGATTTCTTGAAATCATTGGCTATATTGTATTTGCAGTCGTTTATTTCAGACCTGCCTAAGATGGATAGTCATGAGGAATGCTTTTGCCTTAAGTGTCTCAAACTTGCTTATGTCTAAAAATTGTTTACATTTGATTTCTGCCTAGTTATTCAACTGCCCATGGAATCAGAAAACATGCAAAGTAGACACTAAAAATCACAAACATAGAATATGAAGAAAACAGACTATGGTTATGGCCATTCATGCAGAAATACTGAGAAAGTTATTAATGTACCACAGTGGCCTGAACGTGCAGAGGCCCCTGTAATCTTTAATTCTTCAAATTGATGTTCCTTACTATTCAGTCAAACAATGGGTATAGACTAGACAGACTAAATTAAAAACCAAAGCAAGACCCACTTCATTTTACTCAACAGGTTCTTGCATGGCCCTTCAGACCTAAGGACACTTCCACAGCACGCTCAGCCAGTGGATCACTAGCCTGAGGCGTGTTGTTCTCTGGCATTGTAATGACTAGACTAGACTTTTGGTGACTGTGCTGTGACTGAATTGGTGTCACTGATTTAAAGCCAATACCAAAGTTATTAAATGCTCCTGTATGAAAAATAAGATTTTTATTTTTTTTTTAATCAAGGAGGCCTCATGGGCTATATCCCTTTCCTGTTATGATACTTCAAATCCTTAGAGTTGGCACTTGAGTTGTATCAAGAAGCTCAACAACTACATTGAGTGTCCTGGCAGTGGTAGAACTTTCAGAGGGCTCTACAGTAAATATCCATTAGGAATTAGTTCAGAAGTGCAGAAGGTAAATTGGATTTTTACAGGAAAAAAAAAGCCTGATATTCAGGACAATACAGTAAAGTAGCTGTGTTGTTGCTAACAAAATATGCATTCATTCATTTAAGTCTGCTATTATATCAGAGCCAAAAAGGTATTATGTAACTCTCTTTAATAAGATATATAATCTTAAGAACAGGGCCAGAAAGTTTTATGATACGTATGAGCCACTTCAGTTATGTACCATCAAAAAAAGAGATTTATTTAAAAAAACAAAAGGGGGAAAAAAAAAATCAAAACCAGTAAACCTTCACTTCTATTTCCTGTCTGGCATAAGTAAATAGAGAACAGAAACTTTGCTGTCAAGATTTCGAGTGGTTTCTACAGAGGACATTGTGCTTATGTAACATAAAATTCATAAAGAATTAAAAAATATTTAAAAAAATAAATTCACAACATAATTTGACTTATAAAACTCAGGGTGACTTAGCATCCTGGCTATATTGGTTTAATTAGTTGTGCAGCTGTGAACAAATTTCTTTTGGTCGGGATCTAGCTCAGAAACAAAATGAAACAAAAAATTTTTCCCCATTAAATCATTTAACGTTGGATTGACAAGTGTTATACTAGAGTGGTTTTTTAAATAATAATGATCTGGAAAAGAAAGGTGAGCAGCAGAGTGTCATAATTTAGTTTGCACTTGTTTTAATCAAGACAGTAGAAAAGGCTGAGAAATTAAAACAAATCTTAACGTGATTAAATAGGCACATTAAAATGAATAATTGCTGCCACTTGAGTACACTGCTGACTATAAATATCAGTAAGAACACAGATAATTGCTTTATGAATCTGTATGATCATCTCTGCCCATTGAACAGGGACAAATCAACCTAGAATTTGGGGCAGATGAAGAGCATAACATGCTACACAGTGTTTTAATTTTGTGATATAGGAATGGCTACCTTTGTATAATACAAAACCAAGAAATAGTTGCAGATAAAATTAAAATATTAGGAATATGAACATGATGATGGGAAGTATTTTTAACATTGCAATATGATAACAAAATACAGAAGGTATCATACAGCTTTGCAGAATTTGGGAGGATTTCTTTTTGTACAGGTATGTTGTGAATTTTGTCTCCAGAAGAGTAAAAGAATTCATGCTAAAAAAAGGTTGGGTGAAAGCTCTTCAATTATTAGGTTTTGCTTGACTGATTTAAAGTGTGTTTGCACACTTTAAATACTCAGACATAAAGTTGGACTAGGCTGGGCCTTTAGCATCTTCTGAGATGCCATTTGTAGTGCTTTGGCACTACTGTGCTAATGTATAACTAAAATGTGATTATATACAGTTGGGAATGTGCCCTGTTGTTTGGAAAATCTTTTATCATTGTACTGTGCTTACCAAACCCCCAAATTTTAGTTAGAGTATGCTGCAGCCTAGATCTCTGATCATTACTTTGAGCGCAATTTTCTAAAACACATGTGCTGCCCTGATGCGGGCTAAAATATATTACTGGGTTTTTAACTCATACTTAATAGTATCATTACTTTTTGCTTCTGAATGCGTTCTCTCCTAATAACTCCTTGAGGGATTATTTTATTTAATGCCCAGGTATACCGGGAAATAGTGACATTCTTTTATTTCCCAAGAGACTTGGCATTCTGTGTCAGCTTCTTAAATTTAGACTTAGAAGTAATCTATTAGATATTAGCAAAGAAGGAAAAATGTAAAAATGCTGTCTGGTGTAGTGATTACAGAGCTGCCCTTAAAAAACGAATTGTTGCACTAATTCAGAGGCAAAACTTTTCATTGTAATTTAGTCTTCCCTCTTCAGCTGAGTTAGCAGTTTAAGATGGCCCTGTGGGTCTATTATTTTTAAAATGCTGTTCAGTGCACTTAAAAGTTCTGGACAACACATTTTATATTGAGAGAATTTCCTCAAGAGTAATGGCACACACATTAATTTAGCTTATAAAATGCAAATATTTATGCCTAGCAAAAAGCTGTCAATGCAGTGTTTTGGAGGCTAGAGAAAAATGTTCCATGCTCTATAAAAACAGATGTGCTATAGAATAATACCTTTGACTTAAAATTTTGTATTTACTTTAATTAACATTTTAATATATGCGTATTAGAATTTAAATTTAGCTAATGGCTGTGCTGAAAGATATTTCTTTAGTGCTATCACTTAGCTAGCTTCCCAAACTCTTTATTGTACTCTCATTGCATCTGTAAATATTGTTTCTTGGATTGTTTTGTACTATAACTTTGTGTATCATTTGTCTGCCACCTATCTAAAAGCTTACTAGAGCCCACCTGGTAAAACTGACTTAAATGTGTCTGCTTAGGGAGGCATACAGTTATTCTAGAATGAGTGATGGCTTGTTGTCCAGTGTGCTGCTGGTACATGGTCCATCATAACACATCTATTGTTTTATTAGCCTTAATTTATAGCAAAACAAAATTTACACAAAGTAGCATTGTGTCTAAAACCACAGTACTTAACTAATTATACTCATTTTATAGGACATTATAATACTGGCTTATTTTGACAGTTGAGCCCCATCATGGCTTAAAGGATATAGCGTTATAAAGAGGAGCATGTGACACACTCATGGCGGTCTGAATTCAGGGAGATATAACATCCAATATACTGCTACGAAAATGCAGAATAGCTTCTTGTATTTTGGGTCTTGATGTTTCATGATGAATGCCCTAACTCATCATGATGAATGATTAACCTTGCTTATTTGAGGCATCAGTCTAGGACTATAATAATAAAAATATGGAGGAAAAAAGTGCTTGAGAAATACAAGTGACTGAATCTTTTATAAAAGTAACATGAAAGATAAAGTTTATTGTGATTAACAGTGAAATAATGTTTTGACAGAAGACCAAAGTGCCCCTTTTTGTCCTTTGACAATATTTTAGAGCAGTGTTAGAAGAAGTTATGTGAGAATGCAACAACAAGGGCTAGGTGAGTGACCATGTCAGGGAACGCAAGAAAATAACAAGGGCCTGCCAAATGGAAGTTTCAGAGCTGACCTCTGAGATTTATTTAAGGACTAATGTGAGACAAAAGAGAGTCAGAAAGGACTAAGATGGTTGTATGTGCAGCTGAAGGAGGCAGCTGCTACTAAGGACAAGATAGAAAGCTCAGGCTTGGAAAATAATTGCCAGAGCTGATGAGGAAAATTATGATGACTGTAGAATAATGGACAAAGGAGGAAAGTAAAAGAATGAAAAATGGCCTTAGTACGAATTAACGGTAGAGGATTTGACTATTTATGTTTGAAAAAAAGAGTTAAAATGCTGTGAAGAAACTGAGTGGGTTCTTTAAATAGGTGATGAAATATTAGAAAATGTCCTGGAATTGACACTGTAATTTAAACTGCCTTGCTGTAGATTACACTGTAGCTAGAGATGATCAGCAGAAAAATTGAAAAGTTGAAAGAAAAAACCTAGCTATTTCACAAGTAATTTGTAAAGGTATATTTAATACTTAAACTGATATGGAATAACTTGTCAATGGAATCATACGGTAGCTATACTCTGCAAATCAAATAGTTGGGGATTGATTTAGCATTTAGCATATCTAATCCTGTTATGCTTTGTTTTATGCCATTTCAGAATCCTCTATGAATCATCTCTGAAAATTTTGGATGAATTTTTGAATCCTTTACCACAAGGAAGCTTTTGTCATGAAAATTGAAGGAAGATGTATTGTTTTTGAAAAAAGTTTATCTTGTAAACTTGTTAATAGTTAAAGTTTGTTTTCTGTTATTCTGTACACTTAAAGCAGGCAAAATATATAAAAGTGTGTGTAGAAATCATGTAATAGTCAAGATTTTTCAAAGAGCTGTAAAGAGGTTATTCTGTATAAAAAAGTCTTAATTGGGCAGGATGTAAAATCAGCATCTTTGTTTTTATAAAACAAATAATAATTGTATCTTATATACTTTGAGATTGAGGTGGCCTGGAATCTCAGTCCCTGTGAAGACTATAGAGCACGTTCCTAGAGGTTATGGAAATTAATTTCATTCCAAGATACGTGACGGACATAATGGTGGTGGAGAATAGCCATCACAAATTCACTAGGGGCAAACTCTGCCTAACCAGCCTGATTTCCCTCCCTTTTGTGGAAGAAGAGAGAGCAGAGAATGCCATCTTTCTTGTCCTTAGCATTGACTTTTACCCAGGCTTATCTAGTATCCTCGTAGCCAAATTGGAGAGAAGTGGACTGGATGGATGGACTTGGAAGTTGGGTGGGAAACTGACTGGACCAACAAACTTGAAGAATAATGATGCTACAAAGTCAGATGGGTACTAGTGGCACTCCTCTGGGCAGATACTGTTGCCAATAGTATTTAACGTTTTTGTTGAAAGCTTGGGCAATGAGATGAAATGCAATCTCGGTCTGTTGGCAGTTGACACCAACTTGGGAGCAGGGATTGATACACGGGTGGGTAGGGTTGTCCCATTCAATGGGATCATGACAAGCTGGAATTAGGGATCGACAAATCTCATGATGTTCAACAACGACACGTGCTCTTCTACCTCTAATGGAGTAATTCTGCATACCAGCACAGGCAAGTGCAGAAGGGGGATATTATTGGTGTCTTCACTTACCTGGATGAGGATTCAGAAAATACTTTTCTCAGAGGTATACATGAAGAGAATATGAGGCAACAGAAACAACTTCCAGCAAGAGCAATTCCTGTTGGACATAAGAAATTTCATTATGAGAGTGAATTGAAACTGGAAATGGAACAGAACCAGATTGTTCAGAAAGGCTGTGGAACATCCATCCTTGGAGATGTGCAGAACTTGACTGAGAAGGTCCTTACCATCATGTCATAATTTTGAAGTTAGCCTTGCTTGAGACGGGTATTGGACCAGATTATCTCCTGAGCTTCCTCCCAACTTAAATATCCGTGTGATTTAGTGACAAGCGTACTGGAGGGGAAATGCCCTAGATACTAAACACATAGTTGATTAATACAGAAGTTGTTTTATATTTAACTATTTTTATAAAATTAATATTAATGATGCAGATAATGCAGGCATGTAAGCCATTTATTTAATTTTCTTAATGCAATCAGGTGCACTTCTAAGACTAGTAATAGAATGCTGACTGCAGAATGTTATTTTGCCTTAACTGAAATATCAATAAATTCAATGTCATGCTGTGGTTTAACCCCAGCTGGCAACTGAGCACCACACAGCTGCTCACTCACTGGTGCCCCCTTCCCTGGTGGCATGGGGGAAGAATTGTAAGGGTAAAAGTGAGAAAGAAAATCAGTCTAATAATAATTCAAAAAGAAATAGTAATAATAAGTTTTTTAAAATGTAAGGCAAAGAGAGAAAAAATAAGAGAGAGAGAGAAAAAAAAATAAAATCCAAGAAAGGCAAGTGATGCAAATGAAAACAATTGCTCACCACCAACCTACTGATGCCCAGCCAGTCCCCAGGCAGTGGCCTCCTGGCCAACCTTCCTCCCAGCTTTATATGCTGAGCATGGTGTCATATGGTATGGAATATCCCTTTGGTCGGGGGGGGGGCAGTTGACCTGGCTGTGCACCCCCAGCTTATTCACCAGTGGGGCAGTCTGAGGGAGCAGAAGAGGCCTTGGTTCTGTGTAAGCACTGCTCAGCAATAACTAAAACACCCTTGTGGTGTCAACACTGTTTTCAGCACAAATCCAAACCATCCCCATACTAGCTGCTAAGAAGAACTCTTAACTTTGTTCCAGCCACACCCAACACAGCTCCTAATGCTGTATTTTTGTCTGTTTTAGAAGGAGATCTAACTGGCATCCCCAGATAATTATTCAGCCACAGACTAATAGTAGTGTTTGGTGACCAGCTTTGACCTGGATATCTAACACTTGGGTGTCTACAATGAAGTGAGGTGGTTCTCACTATGTTCCTGTGCAAATGGCTTATTGAGGTCTCCAATGTTACTGAGTGGCATTGAAATGGAAATCAACAACTTTAGCCAAATTAAGACAGACTCCTCATTCTTGATTAAGATTTGTGCACAGTGCTGTACCCCCATCTATCTAAACAGGCATCTACTGTGCTGTTTTTCTTTCTGCAGTAAGAGATTGTAAGATTTTTTTTTCCTAGTGTCTGCTGTCAAGTGCAATGAACTACCTCCGTCCTGCTTTACATCAAAGTCATACTTGACCTTAGTGTATAAAACTTCCCTACTGGATAAAAGAATGTATTTAATTGGAGAGTTGATATTTAAAAACAATCAAATTCTTACTAAACAACTGTCAGGCTTTGCAGCAGGGACGTCAGTATGTGTATGGATCCGTGAGTTCCAGATTTACCTTATCCACAACAGTAGCCTGAGCCAAAACGACTAATGCTGCCACAGCAGGTACCTGTAAATCTGCCAACCGTATATCTATCAACATCTTTATAAAAACTGTGTTCTTTGGCCTTCGTTCTTCTACATCTGTTAACAGGCAGGTGTTCCAGTAATGACCTTTTAAATCTTCTGATTATACAAATTACTTAATGAATATGTAAATAACTTTTTTTCTGCTTCTCAGTCTTTCAGTATTTGCTTCTATTAGATTAGAAGAGAAATCAAATTTACTGTCTTGTTTTTCCTCAGTGTATAATGTTGCTTTTTCAGTTTTCGCTTTTCATGGAATACCCCTTACAGATCCAATAACCCTGAACCTGGAAGAAATAAAGATAATACCAACATCAGAAATGTGCAGATTGAGGAACTCTGAGCTGATATTGCTAGGAAGGGTAAGAAAATTTGAAGATAAACCTTTGTCCTCCTGGTGGCTGGTACTGAAGTGGTTCTCAAGCATTTTCAAATCATTTTGCGTTAGTTGGTCGTGCAGCTGATAACAGATTTCAGGTCAAGTTCCAGTCCAGCTCTGTTATAACTGCTCTGACTGGAAAATATTGTCTTTCTGCAACACAAGCAGTGATGTTCTTAGGATTCCTTGAACCAAGGTCTGTCAGGGCTTTCTCCTTGGGTCTTTGTGGCAAATTTCACAAAAATATCATAAGGGTTCTAGGTTTTACTTGCTGTCGTAATTGCAAACTATGTTTTACTGAGATGTTAAATCCTTACATTTTCCTTCTGTTTTGAGGAGACAAGTAAATATTGTGTCCCTTAATGTGAGTTATCTTTTGAAGACCTGTAAAACAGATTTGTTTCATCTTACTATTTGAAAGTGCTGTTGAAGTGCTGCTGGGGGAGAGGGGCTGGTCTTTGATTTTTGTTATGGAGCAATCTTGCTATTCAGCCAGCTACACGATCCAAACTGTATATCTGAGAACTTCCCATAATTTTAAGACAGACCCTTTGAGATCTGTTCAGCTTTTTCATTAAGTTGAACTTGAGTTTGATTAATAAAATCCCTTGAAATACAAACAAGATCACACCATTCTGAGATACTCCTTTGAGCAATTTGCGGTGGTAGTCACTGTTAGCATACAACTGCCTGAAGAATAAATTTTCTAGTCACAGTTGTAAGTGGCATGCCTGTAGCTCTTCATGTATGCTCCTTCATGCGTATACATTCAGTATAAATATTACTGAAGAAAGCAGTAGCTTTAAATTATTTGCAATAATCTATGTTTTAATTTTATTTGTAGGGACCTCGTCCCTTTTGTGATGACAGTGTTCATTTGCTCTGCTGTCTGCCTGGGAAACAAAGTCCAGCAGTCTTCTATCTATCACAGCTTCAAATTATGAGCTAAAGAAAAATCAGTACAAGCTCTCAAGCGTCTTCCTTAGCAAATAAATGTCTTCAAGTATGGATCCAAGCACACAAACTTCCAAACTTGCCAAGGAAAAGAAAAAAAATCTGCCTTGCACCTGCTGTTTACTCCTATAATAGCTGCAACACACTTCGCATTTAAACTCACGTGTGCCGCTGCTGTCAAGTGGTTTGAGGTCTTCTGACTTACAGAAGGAAATCAGAGAGACTTAATTTTGATAAAATCACTTCACTTGATAAATGCTGAACGAAGAATACTTCTGATAATGACTGCAATGTGAAATAATGAGACACACCAGCTACGTTGTAGTATTGTTTCCTGATTTCCTCCAGTGTCTTATGAACCGAGACCATTGTGTGGTGTCCTGCCATGCCTGTGCTAGGAGTACCTCTTGTGGCAGCTGCCCATTTCGAACAGAAGAGCGTGGCTTGGTACTTAGATTTGACAATTAGCTTTCAGGAACAGCTGCAAAACTTTCCACAGGCATCCAGCAGTTCTTCAGGTTCATTAAGCCATTGCAAATAGGCACAAATCATAATTAATCTACTTCAGATAAGACTTCTTAGTGCTGGGCTCTGTGTAGCTGTGTTGGTGCTTGTCTGACCATGACCCTAGGCATAGCCCTAGGCTTCAAAAAGCTATATAATTTTATCTCTAATTTACTCAGCGATCATAGTATTTTTTGTTGTTATTATTTTGTTATTGCTTATGACTCTAGGAAGTAGAAGGTGTTACCGACCTTTTTCTCCTGTGTCTTTTTTTTTAACCAGAGGACCACCTTGTTTTCAGCAAAATAACTTCGTTCTTAAACACTTTACACTTATTCATTATATGGTTTTTATATTACTTCAAACTTCATGTTACTAAGTTTTTCCTATGTAAAATTCTAGTCCTTTGTTTGATATCACTGTCAACTTTGTCCCAGTTTCAAATATAGGTTCAAATTTCATTAGTTTATGCTTATTTTTTGTACTGTCATTAATGAAAATATTAAATAAGTTGCTGTTCCAAAACATCATTAGTAATTCCTTTTCAGCCTAATCTATTTCC